AAGTGCGTTCAGTTAAATTCAGAAAAGTTCTTTAAATAATTACCAATCAATAAAGCACATGAAAAAAGGATATTCTATATAAAAACTTTTCAAACCCTCTCGTCGTTATTAGATTTACTTCTTCAAATAATTGTGTGTACTTTTTGTTGGTTTAAATTGTATCTGGCTATTTTGCAAACGAAATTTTAACTTTTCATTGTCATTAAATGCTAAGAAAAGACAGTGGTAAGTGTAATACCAATAGTGATGGTCAGATACTTACTCTGCCTGTCTGTGGTTCACACCAGTCCTTTTTGTGCGACATATCAATTAATGCTCCAAACCCGACAGGATCATAGCCGCGATTAGCGTTAACTTGTGAGTCACCTGAAGGTTTATCAATATGAAAAAGCATTTAATAGTGTACCTTTTCTGAAACAATGTATCAATTGACACTTTCGAAACTTCACACATTCCAAATAAATCTTCGACAAACACTCACAAACACATACAGACACACATATGGGTTTGCGCCGGTGTAACGTGACAGAGAGTAACTCATCATAGAGAGGCCGCTTCCCATTCATTTATACAGGTAAGCCTCACCCTAGATTTTGATCGTAACCATTATAATTAAATGAAGGGCGAACTTTTTTACACGGACCCTCAGTTTCGTTACCCCGAGCATTAGGCTTAACATAACGTAAAAGGTATATCCCATGGGTTTGATAATCCCCCGAATTCTTAGTTCTACCATCCACAGCTTCTTATAAAGCTTAACATTTATCTTTAACACTATTTAACCCCCTTAAATATTTCTTTCTGAAGCGTACTGGCCAGTCATTTTAAATTTTAATTTAAAAAAAGGTCGAATCCAAGTTAAGAGAGGGGTATTCGGCAGTACAAGAAAATTGCTTATTTTCTCGGGAAAATTCATTTTGCCAGGTACATGTAAACCCCATGGAGTTGCCCTTAAAACTTTTAAAGCCAAGCGCAAACTCACACGTGGGCAAAATAAGTGACTGACTTTTGGGCAGTTTCTCAAAATGAGCGAGAAGTTTTTTACGTCTTAACTAAACAAAAGACATGGTTTATGTTTAATCCAAATTTAACAAATAATAATAATAATAATAATAGTAAAAATATTAAAATCTCTAAATGTTCAATGAAATGAAAGTCGAGCGATTTAAAATACATTTCACTAGCCAACATCATTAATTAATTGAAAAATGACTTACCCAATTCTGAACAATCTGTGAACCTGACTGGTAACTGGTGTTGGCGACACAGCCAGCAGAAAACGTTTCTGCTGTAAATTAGGTCTCTGCCAGCTATAGTTTGTACAAGTGTAAATGGAGCATTTGTACACCGTTCCTGAAGGAAACTGTTTTTTGGGCCACACGTGTGAAACCAACGAAGTCCATTGTAGTGGCGATCACCATTAAGGGCACACGGTCTTCCTGGAATTTCTTTCGGTGGCTTAAAATAAAGCGAGCAGTCGCTCTTTATATCGATGCGTTCAACAAGATCTTGTAATGACGTAACGTTGACACTTAACTCGTAGGAGCTAGTTGTATTTGCACACTTAAACATCGTCTCCCATATTGATGTGTCAACTACATCGTTACAAATAGCACAGAATTTGTTTTTAAATGTAAGTTTTGTTACTGGGTCTGAAACTGGACTGAGAAGGTCAAGGTCAGTTGTGAGCCCAGAAAACTCGCATTTTTGACGGAGAGTTGAGCTGTGTGTTCTACTCGAGCAAGATGAGACCATCCAGAAAAACCGGTAACCAGGCCTTCTACGGGTAAAGTCTGACCTATTTAACTGGTTCAATTTTGAGCCCTGAGATCTGCATTCAACTTGGTTTGCTGTAATATTTAATGCTGTGGTCGTCGTAGCAGTGGGGATTTCGTTGCAAGATAGATACGGCAGACAGCAATCGTGAAACAGATTACAGAATACGTCACAGTAACACGTTATGTGTTGCTGTGAAATCACCCCGTTCTTTGCAAAACAAAAGTTTTCATTCGCAGGCAATACCAACTGCGATCCACTCCAAATCCACGGAAAAGGCTTAATTTCGGAGGAATCGTCCAAGGAGCTGGTGTTAGGCGTGGCTTGAAATGTTTCGGGAATTGGAATTGAACTTGATTCTGTGTTGTTTTGCTGCAAATTCATTCTTCCCGTGAGTTCACTACTGTTGAATGCTGTTAATCCGACTCCTATTGCCTTTCTACGTGGTCTGGAAAACGAACGTTTTGGTATAGTTTGAGTTGGTTTTTTGAGCGAGTTATTTTCCCGTAAACGGTCTTTTGTACCCATACTTCCACCGAGGGTTGACAAAGTCGGACTGTAGCTCACTCGATTTTGTAAAAATCGGTTGGATGAAATTATTGTATCTGCAAATATGCCGTTCTGAAGAACATCCAGTATGGGATGTTGACTACAACAGATTGATCCCAATACCAAGAGGAAAAGTAGAGGCAACGCAGACATTTTGTGTAGGACTTGAGCCGATACCGTCTGTTAACAAAGAAGAAGTTCTTGGACAGTAAGCTGCAAATCAAATGACAGCCGTAGCTGATTGCAATGTCTCTTATATACTGCAGACAAAAATAGATGGCTTGAGTGATGGGCATCGTATTGGCAAATGCCAATGTTTCAGCATTTGCGTGATGCACATTTTACTGCTTAAGTCCTACGCTAGGTGACCGAGCAACGCTTCAAACTTCGTCATGTTGGAATGCATCCTAACGCAATAACATTCAAATGTCCTTTTCGTCGTAACAAACACCAAAACCTTGTCATGCACGGCTATGGAATTTGTCATTTCTATTTTAATTTATATATCTGAGGTTTATAATTGGGTGTGATTTTGATAGTGATTAGTTGGTAAGTTAATAAATGACTGATTTAGCTTTTTAAATATTAATTATTTGCTTAATTTATTAATTATTAGAATATATCAGTGATTAGTTAATGAATAAATAATTGATAGGAAATTGTTCCTTTCTAGTTCGACATAAAATGACATACTACAACTATAATTGCCTGACACTCCTCATTATTACATATCAATTATACTGCAAAGACGAGAAAGGTCTTGCCCCAAGAGACGTTATAACAGCTGCCACCTTGTTTTACACGCACAGTGTTTTCTAACATCGTGATGTGTCTTTACCTGTTTTCCACGGGATGAATCACGCAATGCATCATCTTGTTGGCTAGTGTGGGCATAAAAAGTGATGCGAAATGTGTCGTTGAAGGAGTAAAATTTACACCACCAACTACCACCGAGTGTGACCAATTTACGGAGATCACTGTTAAGGTGATAGGCTAATTTACAAACAGGTGGGTAGACCTCCCCCCACCCCCACCACACACACACACACATTCCGGTCTGCCGCCGATACATGCATTAAGAACCAACTTGGACCGCGTACAAAAGATTTTTCTCCACATGTATTGAGCCTTGCACACAAAGGTTTTAATAATAATTTGGACAGATATTTACTGTGCCTTTCGTGCGACACATCAATTAACGCTTCAAATCCGACAGGATATTTTTAGCTTACAGTCCACTTCTATCTATACAATGCTCTAGGTAGGGTGGTTAGGTATCTGCTTAAAGCGACTTTTTGTCATTCACGTCACGCCTTGTGCAAACGGGGACTGTTTGACTGATGCCTAGGGTCGGAGGGAAACTATAATATGTCCAGGAAGTTGTTAATTTCTGATGGGACTTCTAAAATTTGTACCAAATCATACGAAACAGGACGGCGCTCCGACGCGAAGCTTTACAAGGCCATTTGGTGCTATTTACGACATGAGTCGTCCATGTATGCGACATAAAAGAGTGTGATTACCGAGGCGCAGTTTTAACTTGTTCATGACAACTGGCGAATCAGAGGCATGACTTTTTCTAAGTGGTATAATCATTCTTAGTAATTTCTAAGATCAAAAATTTTCTCGCAGGAGCGAATCATAGATAACAGAAAGTACATCTGGGCGGCATTGTCCACTTCTGTCTATACAATGCTCTAGGTAGGGTGGTGAGGTATCTGCTTAAAGCGACTTTTTGTCATTTACGTCACGCCTTGTGCAAACGGGGACTGTTTGACTGATGTCTGGGGTCGGAAGGAAACTATAATATGTCCAGGAAGTTATTAAATCCTGATGGGACATCTAAAAATGGTACCAAATTATACGAACAGGACAGCGCCCCGACGCGAAGCTTTACGAGGCCATTTTGTGCTATTTACGACACGAGTCCTCCATGTATGCGATATAAAAGAGTGTATTTATCGAGACGTAGTTGTAACTGACTTCTGTTCATGATAACTGTCGAATCAGATGCATGACCCTCTGCAAGTGGTATAATCATCCTTAGTAATTTCTAAGATCAAAAACAAAAATTTTCTCGCAGGAGCGAATCATACAACATGAAATTTTTCTTGTGGCTTCATTCATTTATTCAAATTAAATTCAAATATCACATGTCATTTCAGATCATCCACCATTTCTTTTCTTTTTGTTTGGGCCCTATCATGTGATCTCCATTTCTGATCACTACTGGTTTAACTAGTACTGAAACTAAATGCTTCATACTGGTAATTGCCAGAGTTGGAATTATTTTCATTTTAAAAGTGCACTTCTATCAATTATAACTAAAAATACCTAACTGAGAAAATTGGCTTTTGACATGAGTTTTAGGGGAGATTTTCAAGAACGTTCTAGAATTCGATATGGTGAAATTTATTTAGCCAATTGTATTGAAGATGTTTATAGAATCTTCTAGATCATGGAAATCAGAAAAAAACTACTATAAGCGTCCATACCTTAACAAAGTTTGATGATGTAAACAAATAAGCGTATATTAGAGCTCTCTCTCTTACTTTTACTGTCTGTAACTGTCTGTTACTGTCTGACTTACGCATGTGCCGTTCGAGTGCAGCTGGATACTTCCACTTGGGAATGTACTGCTTATTGTCCCACTTTTGGATTTACATTTTTGACGGATTATTATAGAATAAGGATTTGATTCTAAACTAGTTGAGTATTGAAAACATACCTGCTCCAATGGAGCACAGTAATACAACAAAACGAGGGACATGCTGGTCAGTTCCAAGGGAATGTGTCGGCACCGTATTAACCCTTGTCTCACGTTCTACGTCTTCACAGAGTTTTGGCTCTTCCCGGATGAGGCTTACTTTGTAATCAATCCCGTTATGGATAATAATACTATTCCATTGTAGGTACTTGGCAACCGCGCCTTGCAAATGTTCAAAGAAAGGAATGCCATCAATGAAACTGTTGATTTTTCTTTTTAAAGCCACTGGGATATTGTAGACATATGCTGCTCTCGCGAAGGTCTTGCCACTGGTGTCGTTCACATCAACTGTCATAGCAGTACATGTTAACTTCCCTTTCAAAAATTCCCATTCATCCCGTATGGATAAGTAAAATTGATACGAAAATATATCGTACCCGATTGATGTACAGTCAGTCCAGTCGGTATGATCCCTTGAAACGTTCGGTTCATTTTGGGGGGCAATCAATAGCTTCAAGTCGTAATAACCATTAAAGACACCAACTACAGGCGAAAAACACTGGTCTTGTTCCATAGTTTTTGAGGCAAAGCACTGTGCCTGAAATGATATAAACAATATAAATACTAGTATAAATATTGACAACATAGAACTAAATTTAAATTACTACCAAGTCTTTTTAATATAAGACAGCCAAAAATGTTTACATATAACAGTAACCGATTTAGACGGGGTGTCAGGGGGGGGTCTGACCTTCCTTCAATTAAAGAAAAAAAATCACACATATAAACTTGAAAATATATTTTTGATTAGCTGAATCATAGTTCTAAACCGTACCAAATGGCACCGTTCGCTCTCAAAAACACTACAAATTTCCGGGCCCTTCAGCCAAGGGGCCCGCTGAAAAAAAAATCCTAAAAAAAAATACATCCCCCACCCCCTTCAAATAATCATGGATCCGCCCCTATATGATATTAAAATGTACTAGATAATTAAATCTGCTAAGAAGGTTCTGTTTCTGGCTCCGGTAGTAAGTTAGTCCGTCTGTTAGTTAATAAGTTAGTGTGTGTTTGTTGGCTTTGTTTGTCTTTTAGCAACATTATGCATAAAGTTGATGAAATGATCAGAGCAAGTCAGAAATGGGTCAAGGAACAAATGATTCGAGTTTGGTGGTGATCCGGAATACCATTTATACATATTTTAACAGTAAAGACTTCGTTTGCGTCTATCATCTCTATCCGTCCTGTCACATATACGCCTCCACCGTTATTGGCAAACCGAATACAGGTCACTCTGTCATTGATTGTGCTGCAGTGGTGGGCATACTGTAAATGGGATATGTTTAAATTAAGTACGTTGTAAATATTCCTGAGTGGCCAGACGGGGCATCTATCAAATAACTTGACAGTGAGGTGGGCCGTTGGTAACAGCTCAAGAAATATTGACAAAATGTAACGGGTGAGGTGAGGAATCAAAACTATAGGCCTAGTTTCTTCCCACGACTTCGCCTTTGCAAAGAAAATTCGACCATTATACGCGCTAATACCTTTTATGGAACCTGGCTGTGGTCCGTAAACGCTATTATGTCAAATATATACTTACAAATCAAGTCGAAATCGATGTTTACATACAAATTAAAGTCGAAAATTGAGACTCACTTGTGAGCTAAATTCTCTGGCCATGTTACTTTATCTCTTGAGCTTTGTGAATGGTCGAAAGCACGAGAGAATTTATTGTGCTCTTATTTATTTACCGTACTTTCGTTGAGCATCAGAACGCGGATAAATAGTGTTGTTCGTTTCCTTATTTTATTTATTGAGCAGTAGGTTTTTAATCAGCTCAGTTTCAGCGAGATTAGTATAAATAATCAAAAACAATCTGATGCAATTATATGGTTAATATTTTGCCTCAGACTTTTCCTTTACATTATATATTTTAATAATATATCTTATACATTATATTATTATATATTTTAATAATATACTCTCTGGGTGCTTTCTAATTATTGTTATATTTTTTCTTCTGAATTATGTTCATAGGCATCGTTTGTTTTATTATAATTTGATGAAAAGGGGAAGGCAAATATTAACGGACTGTTAATAATCATTTTACCACTGATATAGTACAATTAAATAACTGAGTTTGAAGTATACATTTTTGAATAAAATATTGGGCGGAAATAGCAAATAATAACAATTTGGGTTAAATTGAGGTCCAGATATTACTCAAGACAATGTATGCATGGGGCGTCACATGGCCCATTTGAGATATTATTGTCCTAAAAATAACCGCTGTCATAAAAAAGAGGCTTAATTAAGAAAAGACAGCGGTAAGTGCAATGTCAATTGTGATGATCAGATACTTACTGTGCCTGTCTGTGGTTTACACCAGTCCTTTTCGTGCGACATATCAATTACTGCTCCAAACCCGACAGGATCATACTCGCGGTTGGCTTTAACTCTTATGTCACCTGAGGGGTTTGTCAATAAGAAAACGCATTTAAAATTGTGGCTATAAGGAAACAATGAATACTTTCGAAATTTCACATATTTCTAATATATCCTCGACACACACGTATATGAGTTTGCGCCAGACTTTAAGCTTAAAAGAATGTTTAAGGTACACCTCACGGGTTTGAAATCCTCCAAATACTTATTTTTGCCATCAACAGATTCTCATAAAAATCTACATTAACCTCCAAAACCCCTAAAATAATGATTTTATTTTCTGAAGCGTACCTAATGTCCATATTTCCATCGGAGATTAGGAAGATGGTTGCTGGTTATAATGACTGCCTAGTCATTTTAAACTAAGCCATCCTTTACAAATTCAATTGAAGGTCGAATCCAGGTTTAGAGAGGGATAGAAAAAACGATTCGTGAGTAAACGAAAATTGCTTACTTCCCCGGATAGATCCATTTTGACGGGTAAATCCCATGAAGTTGCCATTAAATCTTTTAAAGCCAAGCGCAAACTCACACGTGGGCAAATTAAGTGGCAGACTTTTGAGCAGTTTCTCAAAATGTGTGTGTGTGTAGGGGGGGGGGTTAACGTCTCAACTTACCAAAAGACATATTTTGTTTTATCCAAATTAACAACAACAACAAAGGACTGACTTCTTGTCATCCGTTGATACCAGATTGCGAAGTGTTCATCATCAAATGATCAATGGAAAGAAAGTCGAGCGATTTAAAATACATTTAGTGAATGAGACTAAATTGAATTAATGAATGACTTACTCAGCTCTGAACAATCTGTGAACCTTTCTGGGAACTCGTATAGGCGACACAACCAGCAGAAAACGTTTCTGCTGTAAATGAGGTCTCTGCCAGCTGTAACATATTGTAGCAATGTAAATGGAGCATTTTTGCATCTTTCCTCAAGGAAAATGTTTTCCGGACCACACGCGTTATACCATAAAAGTCCATTATAGTGGCGATAACCAATAGGGGCACACGGTCTTCCTGGAATTTCTTTCGGTGGCTTAAAATAAAGCGAGCAGTCGCTCTTTAAATCGATGCGTTCAACAAGATCTTGTAATGACGTAACGTTGACACTTAACTCGTAGGTGCTAGTTGAATATGCACATTTGAATGTCGTCTCCCATACTGAAGTGTCAATTACATCGTTACAAGCAGCACAGAATTTGTTTTTAAAAGTAAGTTGTGTTACTGGGTCTGACACAGGATTTAAAAGGTCAAGGTCAGTTGTGAGCCCAGAAAACTCGCATTTTTGACGGAGAGTTGAGCTGTGTGTTCTACTCGAACAAGATCTGACCATCCAGAAAAACCGGTAACCAGGATTTCTACGGGTAAAGTCTGACCTATTTAACTGGTTCAATTTCGAACCCTGGGATCTGCATTCAACTTGGCTTGCTGTAATATTGAATGCTGTGGTCGTCGTCGCACTGGAGATTTCGTTGCAAGATAGATACGGCAGACAGCAATCGTGAAACATATTACAGAATGCGTCACAGTAACACGTTATGTGTTGCTGTGAAATCACCCCGTTCTTTACAAAACAAAAGTTTTCATTGGTAGGGAAAACCAACTGCGATCCACTCCAAATCCACGGAAAAGGCTTAATTTCGGAGGAATCGTCCAAGGAGCTGGTGTTAGGCGTGGCTTGAAATGTTTCGGAAATTGGAATTGGACTTGATTCTGTGTTGTTTTGCTGCAAATTCATTCTTCCCGTGAGTTCACTGCTGTTGAATGTTGTTTTTCCGATTCCAATTGCCTTTCTACGTGGTCTGGAAAACGAACGTTTTGGTATAGTTTGAGTTGCTTTTCTGAGTGACTTCTTCTCCCCTAAAAAGTCTTTTGTACTTCCCGCAGGGTTCCACAAATTCGGACTGGAGCTCAGTCGATTTTGTAAAAATCTGTTGGATGAAGCTATTGTATCTGCAAATATGCCGCTCTGAAGAACATTCAGTATGGGATGTTGACTACAACAGATTGATCCCAATACCAAGAGAAAAAGTAGAGGCAACGCAGACATTTTGTGTAGGACTTGAGCCGATACCTTCTGTTAACAAAGATATTCGTACAGTAGGCTGCAAATCAAATGACAGTCGTAGCTGATTGAAACGGTTCTTATATCCTGCAGACAAAAATAGACGGCTTGAGTGATGTGCATCGTTTTGACAAATGCCAATGTTTCAGCATTTGCGTGACGCACATTTATTCGAAACGACTTCTTAAAGGGATAATAACTCCTTGTTTTGGCCAAAAAATGAATTTTCCTGGAGTAAACAACAATTTTCCCATACTTACCAATGGTTAATGAATCCATTTTTACATTCAAAGTTAGTCCCTGGTATTTTTTCTAAAAAGTTTGTTTTTTTGTATAGCCAAGCCCATCAATGGAGGTCAGGTGGTCTGAAGACAAAGCTCAGATTTCAGAAAAATAGCCATAACTGCCGTTTTTGTGGTAAAACAGAATATATTGAATTTCTATGGGTTATTCACAATGTTTTTATTGTGAAATATAGATCTCATACGAAGGGTTATTATCCCTTAAAGTCCTACGCTAGATGACCGAGCAATTGCATCAAACTGACATCGTAATTTTAAATATATGCATCCGGACGCAATAACATTCAAATGCCCTCAATTCCACGTACTACTATGCAAGGTTATGGAATTCTGATCATTTCTATCTGATCTTGATTTATCAGAGGTTTACATTTTATTCAAATTCTTCACTTCCAAAGTAGCTTGGGATTTAGTGTCAGATCACATTAATTTACAACATTTGTATTTAATAAATTGTGACATTTTAACAGACATACAAATGTCACCCCAGCCAGCTCTAAGGGCAAGAAATATGACTTAAGTCTTTTAAAATTTTATCACCTTTTTCTGATGAACTCACTTATCTACCGACACAAGATATCGTCGCGCCTCAGTGAATAGTACAGTACAGGGTGTTGTTAGCGACTGTCTGTCTGGCTACTTGGGGGACTCGGTGAGGGCCATTTAAATTTGCAGAGGGCCTTGTGATAAGGCTGAAACGTATCAAAATTTAAGGTCCAACGTGAGAGTCAATTCCATTTATCTTAGTTTAATACAACTAAATAAATCGAAACTTTTACTGACTCCTTTGAAAGACTATACTATCTTATCGGTTTTTTAAGTTATAATGTAAGCAATTTTACATATTACCAAGTAAAGGTAAGTACGACTTCCTGAATGCCATTGCCTTTTTAAACCTTGATTATATATGAGGCTGACCTCACTCTTTTTTCTTATTCAGAAATGAGGCCCCACTGGCACAATATTCACAGTATCCTAATCAATAACATACATGTATGACCAGATGACAAATATTCTTCAATCTTCTTGAAAGGAGCAACATTTTTACAAATTTTTAAGTCTATAGATCATGATAATATATTGAAAACTGAACTTAGATGTGTTGAAAATCAAGACTACAATCATCAAGATCTTTTAAAACT